GAATTCCTCACCGTGACCCTAAGACCAGTCCGCCCACCACCAGAAAAAGGACACCCCCGGCTGCCACCAGAGGGAACCCCAGATCTAGGCAGTGGCACGGGCACGCCGCCCCTTTGCAGGTAACGGAGTCCGGTCTGAACTCCGAGATGGTCATACCCCCGCAATGGGAGCATGAGTCATCCACGAAAGGCAGCGATCGTGACCATCACCCAGCGCCAGGTAACGACCACATCCAAAAACGCCCGGGTGATACGTTGTCTATAGCAAGACCCACATCGTCTTTACAAAGACGTAACGTCAAGTTTGCCACGCAACGTCGTCTTTAAAAAGACGCACCTGAAATTGCTCTTTTAGGGAAAAGCTCTTTTAGCGTGCTGAGGCACACAGGGGAGATGATCATCTGCAACACAAACGGGGTAGTGCAGCCTAATGTGTGCAACCCACTCGACACGGGAAACCACTACCGCTGAAGCGCCGTCCGCCAACACGAGGAGCTCTCCAAGAGCACGCTGAACTCGTTCAGTCTTCTTCTCTCAGTAGAGTAGACAGGAGCAGAACTATGTGATCGCTCGGCTCCGAAGTGAAAAGCTGAATATGCGCTGCATCTGCTGCCTACTTATACTCACGCTGTGATCAGCAGCAGCTGGATGCAATAATCGCATGCCAATGTGCATTGGCTCGTTTAGTTTGCACTCGAAGTAGATTGGTCCCTCTAAGCAAGATCCCAATTTGTCGGTCCTCCGACGTGATGTCGAGAGTGACTGACTGAAAGGGAACGACCGTTCTTTGCAGAGCTCCTGAGAGAGGAGCTGTAAAAATATACTGAGATGGTTTTTGGTACTTATACCACAAATATATATTCTTAAGGGCATCAAGACTTAAAATAAAACTCCAGAAAGGTGTAAAATATGTGACCTTTAAATGTAATACTTATTGTACTTAATAAGGGTTATTGTTCAGTATTTCCATGAATTACGTAGATTGGTTGAAATCATTCAATTTGCATTCATAGTGTTGGTAATTAAATATAAATATTATTATACCTGTATATAAGTCATAGAATAATTTTACCTTTCTGATGAATCTTTTACTGGGCTTCTTCTTTGTCTACATTGGTTATTCAATTATTCAACTAAATTGTCAAAATAAAAATTTAAATAGAATAGTTGATTTAGTATTTTACATTAATGACACTAAAATATATAGAAATATTAATAAGAATTATATCAAAAGTCTTGCCTCCTGGGTAACCATACCTGGGTAAAATGGCCTCTTTAAATATTTTTACATTTGTTCTATGACAACTAAATTAGCAAATGTTTCTATTTGTTTCCTATAATAACACACTGGATGATGCATCATCATCATCCTGCACATGTATATCTAAATATGTTACAATTTAAAAGTAAATGCACATTGTTTTCTAAGAGGGCATCTTCCCGTATTTGATTTATTTACCAAACGCATAAGAGGATGACCTATAAAAGTGCAGAAGTTTTGCTGTAAACTTGCACAGCATCAGTCCTCCCCGGAGCATCCTGGGGTTAAATGCTTTGCTTAAGGGCACAATTGTGATAGTTCACAGCTCTCTCCTTCTGATTACCAACTCTAAGCTCATCCACATCCCACCACAAATGCTGTCATTTCCATCAGTAATAATGTTCATGTGCCACCAGTATGGCAGAGCAGCACTACTCCTCGATAAAGCTGCTCATGTTCAGCTCTTCAGCAATGTAATCAGTCCTAATCCTGTCTATTAACACTATCTGCACTCGAGCTGCAGGCTTAAGCAGTCTTAACTGAGAGGATATCATTCTGATGTGGGATTCAGCCTGACAGGGGCTAAAGACCTGATCACACCTCGGGTTATTATTGCCAGTTTGAACACTTGCTCCCTCTCCACTGAATGACTCAGGTCACAAGTTGTCTTTGCTTGGTGGAAACAGTCTGTGGTCTAATTAAATTGTGCCTTTACCAAGAAACACTTGGCAAAAATGTTATAGTGTACAAATCTGTCAGCGGTATGTCAAGGTGATCTTGCAGATGGCCACACACTAGAGACGCAACATACTGTAGGCCTGTAAGATCATGCTGATAGTGTCAAATCACAGCATGTGAAATGAGCAAACTGGAGACGACATAGCTGTGCATGAGTGCTAGGTTAAAGGAAACACAGGGATTTGACCTTTAACTCAAAAAATGTGAAGTTATAGTCAGTTCTGTAGAATTGCAATGTTATACAATGAGAATGGCAACTTATATAAAACTTAAATAGCTGTATTTTAATAAATCCTATTTTTAACTGGGTTCAATCAATGTTAAACTATGTAAATGTTAAAAGCATCCATGACATGCTGATGAATAGCAAAAATCTGCAAGCAAAAATGTACAGTTATGCACTTGCAAACAAAATTTGTTTTGAATCTAGAAGATTCGTTTAAAGAAACAATGACAGAAATAATTTTCCTTGGGTTGCGTTTTGAGAATGGAATAAACATTCAAACAATACTGGAAATATAACACGCCGATGTCAATCCAATGTCATTTTAGTATTATTTATATACTACTATAGTTTGTATTAATAATTTAAATGTGTTGCCAAGGAATCATTTTACATCAAATTTTTATATTTTATTCAATTTCAGCTTTATTTCAAGTAACTATTTATTTATTTGTATTCGTTGTTTTTTTTTGATAAAGATAACAACACTGCCTCATTACTGTTTCATATTGGCATGCTATTATCCATATTCAGTAAACCTCTTCAAATATCCAAACTAGGAGCTGGATAAGCAAGATTTTACCTGTTGTAATGTATAATATGTTTGGCCCATTTCATCAGGCTTTTGCCACGGGATCAAAACAATTACGTTTTTGAAGTAAACAATGAAGTAACTTTTCCACACATTGTTTAGAATTCATCTTACTGGCCACATATTGAAGTTATTAATGGAGTTAGATGAATGAACATCCAATACCATAAATCAAGAACTAATTTTAAGAAACTCAATATGAACAGACTCTTTAGTAATGCAACTGGTAGACAAAAGAAAGACTGCATAATAAGCTATTGTAAAACATGTTTACTCTAATTGATAACAGATATTCATTACATGCATTCATTGTGCCAGTATGTAAACCTGTGGTAAAATCTCATGTGGTGAGATATGTGTGACAAAAGCTTATGTCAATTATTTTAATATGATTTTCATAAAAAGGAACTGGCTGCTGGGGTAATATAATCTTGCATGTAGAAACAAAATGCAAAACCATCATGTATTTAACTTTGTGAGACCTACACTTCTATTCAAAATACTGGGGTCAGTAAGATTTTTAAAAGAAATTAATATCTGTATTTAGCAAAGATGCTTTAAATTGATCGAATTTTTATGTTGTTACAAAAAAAGATGATACTTCAAATAAAATCTGTTCTTTTGAACTTTCTATTTATCAAAGAAAAAAAATGCATCACTGTTTCCAAAAGTGATGAACATCTGTTTTCAACATTGGTAAGAAATGTTTCTTAAGCCGCAAATCAGCACATTAGATTGATATCTGAAGGATCATGTGACACTGCAGACTGGAATAATGATGCTGAAAATTCAGCTTTGCCATCACAGGAATAAATTACATTAATAAATAACATAAAATATATTAAAAGAGAAAACAGTCTTCTAAATTGTAATGATAATTCACTGTATTACTGTATTTTTAAAATCAAATAAATGTGGCCTTCTGCATTTGAAAGAGACTTTTTTTCAAAACATTAAAAGTTCTTAAAGACCCAAAACATTTGAGCGGCGCTATATGTTTTAGTCATCCTTTCTTTCAGACTAATTTTTGACTGAATGAGATATATTTAGATTATTCTGATAGGGCAACAAGCAATCTATGTGCAAAAATGTAGTCCCAACACATTTCTGTGATTATTTTGCATTGTTCTAAACTAACAATCCCTAAAGCATGACAACTTTGTAGATGTGTCAGTATTTGAGAGTATTACTGTAAAACATACTGTAGAATATTAATATTTTCTTTGCACCAGAGCGCAGAGAAAACCCAGTGTTTAAACAAAGTGTCAGTTAATTTAATAGTGTGAGGTATGGACATTATAAACAAAAGACATCATGTGTCAGGGTGTTCTGGGATATCATAGTCTCTCTCTGTTTTAAAAACACTTGCATTTTGCATAAAGCAGCTGTGAATGTCTTCTTAAAAGTATAGTTTATCCATAAAATGAAAATTATGACATTATTTACTCACTCTCATGTTGCTACAAACCCGTATGACTTACAGAGTAGATTCAATACAGTCAGTATTTTGACTGCCTGCCATAGCTTGATAATATTAAATAAGCATGTTGGACATAAAGTTTGTCAGATTCTGTGAATTCCCATGTTTACCAAATGCGTGTGAAATGGACAACAACACAATGGAGAAAATTATCTATTTAACGAACCCCTTACACAGACCAGAAAGCTCAATTAGGATTTAATTTGTAGTGTAATTAGCTGTCATTTTTTCCGTTATTAGTTCCAAGGACAGGGTGTAATTAGGGGGCAGGGGACTTCTCAATCAGGCTTAACATATTTTAGATTCAGTCCATGAGCGTGGCTGATTGTATTCCTTGTATTCCCTCAGGAAACTCCACTGCACGCGGAACTACATCCACATGCACCTATTTGTGTCCTTCATTCTGAAAGCCATCGCCGTCTTTGTCAAAGATGCGGTGCTCTACGATGTTATTCAAGAGTCTGACAACTGCTCCACTGGTTCTGTAAGTTTTTTATTGCACAGTCTATTTATTTAATCTTGAATAAATCCCTCAGGAGTCTGTAATAGTTTCAATTAGCAAACCATGTGACATCCACACGCAGCAAACCAAGTATTTATCTAGCAGTGTTAGTAATCAGCGTAAATATAGTCTATCCCTGCTGATCACGTTTACATTTTTTCATACTCGCTGGTCTTGGGCCTCTCGACTGTTATGTCTGCTGCTAAACATCTATGGGCATAACTTCACACTTGCTGCTGAATTCACTGCTGTGGGTGACCTTTGTTTGAACCAGCTTGCCAAAATGCTTGTTCCAGTCATTCTGGATGGCATTTACTCTCACTTTTATTGCTGTAGCCCCTCAAGCTATCTCAATTTCACAGATTTTTCTTTCACAACATTGCAAAATCACAAGATGCTATGTGAATTTTGGGTCATTTTTGACACTGGTGCCTCAGGGTATTTGGTTTGTGCAAGTTTTACACTACTGTACTGACAAGCTTATATATGCTGGTTTACTAGTGTCCCACCAATGTTATTTAGGAGTTTAACTAATAACACTTGCTGAAAGTCCACAAGGACCAAAGCCGACTAGTCTCATCAGCTAGGTTTTGCTTAAACCAGCACCATACAAGCACCAGCCAACCAACAGAAATGCAGGTGTGAAAGGAGGTAAAAGAGTGAGAGTGACAACATTAAAATTAGACCATGCAATTAAAACAGCAAAAACTCAAGTAAAAGAAAGAAAGTGGCAAAATTAAACTTAGACCATACAAGTAAAACATCCAAACGGGTAAAACTAGTAAAAAGCAGGCAAAAGAGTGACAGTGACAACATTAAAATTAGACCATGCAAGCTGAAAAGCAAAGAGGTAAAAGAGCGACAGCGACAAATTTAAAACTGGACCATGCAAGTAAAGCCGAGAACACACTACACGTCTGTCAGGCCGATTATGAATGGAATTTGGTCTTGACGACGGATCGTGCCCAGTCGGACAGGGTCTGTTCCAGTTGCGCTCAGTCGCTGTTTGCAGTTGGCAGAAAAAGTCGCATAATATGTGGCGACTAAAGATTATAATCTTAGAATTCAAGAACCAGTCGTTTTCACAAAGATTTTTTAAAATGTTTATTTTGCGACTGACACCAGCGATTGCGGCTATACAGTGGAGATGCGTTCACTGTCAAACATCATTCAGAATTATAGGCCTAATTTTGTCTTTTTTTATTACAAGAAAAATCTTGATTGTTCTTGTTGTGATTTATTTCGTCTTTCTTTTAATTCATAAGTTAACTCAGCAAATTAAATGGTTTTGTTTTTTCTGCCTGTAAAGACATTATAGCCTAAATTATGTCAGTGATTTCTCTCATTTTAAAGATGAGATCAAGAATTATTTTATTTCCATCTGCAGTCTAATAAAAGTTAAGAAAAAATTGAATTAGCCTATAGGCCTATCTACAGGCTAATTACATTTTTCCTTAACTTTTAACTTCTTAAAATTTGTTATGAAGAATTTTAAATAAACTTCATAACAAATAGGCTAGGCTAACTAATTTTCTCCATAACGAACAAGAACATTTTATAGAAACTAGCTATTCTTTAAAATGAAGTTTACATAAAAAAATCATAAATCACAAATATGACAAAATACAATTATTCTATAAATGTATTAATTATATATATAATAGTTTTGTGTCAAATGGATAAGGGAATTACAGTGCCTTGAATTTATTGATGTTTTATTTAGTTCTAACTGGTAGCCAAACTCAAGTACTTTAATGAAAAAAAATGGCCTACCTTTTTTACTTAGAACCAATTCATTTTTAATCCCTGATTTGAGACATACATGAGATAATTAATATATTATTTCTTGAATAAACGTTTAAAAATAGTGCTAGAAATTAGGGATGCACCGATATACATTTTTTTTGGCCGATTTTAACAAACAACTATTGGTCGATACCGATATAGATCAAATGCATAAAGCAGGGCTTAAAAACGAGAAAAAAAGGATTGGTTCACTCCAAGCAGAATCGTTATTTGAACGTTTCTGTTCCTGCGTTCCTCTGTGAAACCAGTTTGAGTAGAAACATACCGGTTAATAACGTTATTTTGTAAACTTTTTCTTTGCCAATAATAATAATAATAATAAAGTACAGCGTTTAATTTACTCAAAAAGTCTTGAATGATCTCTCTTAGTCATAGCAATACAGCATCATCTTTTTTAGAATGACCAAAGACCAAATGTATTAAACAAAAGAAAAAAACTGTAAACGCAATAAAAACATTAAATAATTTTTTTCAAAATATTTAAAAATGTTTCAGCATGGATAAAAAAAACACTACTCCTATAAGCGTTTTGAGAGGGAAAAAACAGCTTAAATTTGTACGTTGCATTTTATTATTACATTCAGAAATAATGTAGGCTAAAATAATGGTAAATAAAAGAAAAATTACAAATACAAGGCTATTTTAGTTCCCTTCTCTCCACAACAAATCCTCTAAAGATGTACTTAGGCTAAATATAAGCGTCAAGCCAAAACTAATTAATTTAAAAACGAAACTGAAGCCTACCTCTCTCATTCAGCACGAATCCAAATGTTTCCATATTCGCGAAGTATCTGGATGCTAACCTATTATTTATTATAGGTTAGCATTATAGGTTAATATTATTTATTATTTATTACATATAGGCTATATCAGCAGTGAGGCGCTGGTCACACTGAACAGCACAGACTGTACTACAGACTATTTAAATTGAGCAGTGTAACTTTTTATGTTTCTTTAGCTGTATTTTATTTTGATAATGAACAGGCTGCGATGTCAAATTAGCAAAGATTTGTTGTATGTGCGTGTGAGGCACGGACACGATCACTGCATTGTTTTCCCAACTGTTACTCCGTAATTTATGGTCATATCAACACTGGTTTGTCATACAGATAGAAGCAAAACATCATTCAAAACTGTAAAGCTTTTGTAAAATAAAGAAAACGTCCCAGGTTACGTATGTAACCATGGTTCCCAGAGGGAACTCGAGCTGCGTCGGAAAACGCTAGGGGAACGCCTTCAGCGATACCAAGCTCTGAATCATATGTGTAATCAGTCGAACGATGGGCGAGACGTCCGCGGCGGGTGACGTCATGACCAGGAAGCTTTAAAAGCACGTGAGGTGCCGCCGGCGCTAGCTTCTTAGGAGTGAAGCAAGCTCTAGTAGGGATGCCGGAAGTATGGCCTTGCGACGCAGCGTCTCGTTCCCTCGGGGAACCATGGTTACATACGTAACCTGGGACGTTCCCCTTCGGGAACTCGAGCTGCGTCGGAAAACGCTAGGGGAACGAGATGTCCACGCCGCCAGACTTGCAAATCCCTGCCTGGTGTGGAAGGGCATAGCTATGGCATGAGAACAGAGGGGCCTGGAGTGGCTCACAAATCTGGCGCGGAGGTAGCGACCTGGCCCGCAGAAAGCGTTCATCAAGTTTGCTTTTCTGGTCCCCTAGCGTTTTCCGACACAGCTCGAGTTCCCGAAGGGGAACTGCTTTCTGCCGTCTCGTTTTTTTTCCGTGAACTTCGGAGCGCATTACAATTATTCGAAACTCAGCACAATTTTTTTCTTTGTTTTGTTAATCTGTTAATGATTTAAGTGAAATATATTTTGTGTATAGGCCTATATATTTCTTTTTATGTACCCCATATAGTTTTATTCTGTGTTCTCCGTTCATAGAAACGCTGCAGGTGCGTGATGTGACCTTGTGTGAATCCGTGTTCTACACTGGTTTCAAACAAAAAGCTGCATATTACCTGCCATTAATTTTCACTTAAATGTGGGCCTAATGCTTGACGGTTCGTAACATATCCTCAGATAAACATTAACGCCGGTGCTGTTACGTATCCGGTCCATGAACTTCCGTCTGCTAGCCATCAGAGGTCACCCTTTCCATTTTCATTGACTCTCGCACTACACACTGTTGCATATCACCCCGGACTACATATCCCATCATTCATTGAACTGATTTCACACAGCACTGATTGCACACAGCTGTTTCATATCACTCACTCACTATTTAACACTCCATCTCACTCCTTCTAACTGCCGAGTATTGTTTAGCGTGTATCGTTTTGATAGCTACTCTACAGAGCCCTCGTTAGCTGCCTAGCCTAGCCTGTTTTCTCGGTTTCGGATCTTTGCCTGTTTTCCTGGATTTATCCCTTTAGTCTTGCCCTTTTGATTCTGTTCGCCGTTCGTTGACCTTCACTAGCTCTAGGGTAATTCTTGTGTCTTGCCCGCCATATACCTGTTTGCCACTGTTCGACCCTGCCTATGTTTCTGACCTCCTCTGCTTTAATAAAGCTTGCGCATGGATCCGCATATCTCGCGTCTCGTCAGCCCTGTAACAGGTGCATTGCCATTGCAACTTACCTATGATGAATTTACAACTGAGAGCGGGCATTTAACTCGTTGGATGCGTCAGCGTTACGTTTGCATATGGCCGTACTATGCCGTCTGACAAACTATATTTTGAACAGATTTTATTTTGTTTTGGCAAGTATTTAATTATTTTGCCCAGAGAAAAATGTTGGATTATGCAACAGACATGCAACTCGTTGTCTCCATGCAGTTAATAAATAAACCATTGTTATCGGCCCTTTCCATGCTATTTCCGATATGCCGATGGGTTTAAAATAGTCAAAAATCGGCCGATAAATATCGGCAGCTGATACATCGTGCATCCCTACTAGAAATGTTATAGCCTAATTAAGGGATTTAAACATAGGCATTTGAAAATACATAATGAAATGTGTCTTCTCACTCAATAATTCCAAAAAGAAAGAGAAGCATCAGACTTAATGCAAAACATATTCAAGACACATTGCTGTGACATATATTATATCACCAACATGGCAGAAAAAAAATAATGTTTTTTGTTAAATTAAGCACATAAGAAAAGTAAAACAAATGTTAACGTTTCAATGGGTAAAAGCGCACTGGTGTTGTCGGTAGTGTTGTA